AGTGTACTATTTTAGAAAGAAGGGATATTAGATGGCATGTATTACTCAATAATGGTTAACATAATTTAGAGGAAACATTGATTATAGATAATAATTACTTTGGAAGGAAATCCCATAAAATTCATGGAAGAGGTCACTTGAGAAGAAACCCATCCTTCAGTGGGTCGTCATCTTCTACAGTAAGGCTTGCTGCACCTGTGTAATGCGCTTGTCCTGATACTTCCACTATAACCGCTTTGAAGTCACCACATTTTGCTTCCTGAAAAAAAGATGGAAGGAGCACCCTATCAAAATATTTCACTCATACTGTATCTGGCTTAAAAGTTGAACTCTTGATTTTTATCGTGTTAAAGGAAACCTAAGGGCTATGGAAAAATTTTAAGGAAAGTAACATGGTCTAATGTGTATTTTAGATATGTTTAGTGTAAAATGAAGGAAAAGTTGAAGAGGAGAGAGACTAGAAGCCCAGAAACCTTTTAAGAAAGAACTTTGATTCACTGGTTTTAATCCAGAGGCACTAGGTAGTTTTTAGTGAAGATGGAGAAAGATAAATAATATAGAAATACTTTGGAGGTAGAAAAGACTGACCCGTTGACAATGTAGAAAGAAATTAAAAATAATAAGGTAAACAAGACCATGGTTTCGTGCTTGGAAGTGAAACTAATGATGCCATTAGCTAAGATGGGGAATAAGAGAGGAGTATGTAGAAGGAAGGATGGTAGCATGGACTTAAAAAATATAGTTGTAGATGGTCAGAATGCCTTTATTTTATTGGGGGCTAAGGATCGAACTCAGTGCCTCAAACATGCTAGGCAAGCGCTCTGCCACTGAATAACAGCCCTAGTCCATAGGATGGACTTTTTAACAAGTTGAGTTTGAAATACTTTGAGGACATTCATTCCTCATAGAGATGAGGATAGGGACCAGCAATAAAAGTGTTAGATCAGAAAGAGTTGCAGGACAGGCATGGTAGGGATGAAGGTTTAGGAGTCATCAGCAGCAGAGGGGTTGAGAACTGAAGTCTAGAAAGTGGAAGAAAGTGTCTAGTGGCATTAAATTGTAGATGAGATGGAAGGAAGCTAAGAATAAAATGCTGGAGTCACTTAATTGGATGGACAGGGAGCAGAAGATAGGGTAGGGAAAGAGACTGAGAAAGCACCATCAGAGAGCCTGGAAGAGCCCAGACAGAAAGGAAAGGCTTATAGTACATGTGAAGATACTCTGGTAAGCCCAATTAATAACTGTAAAATAAATAACTGCAACTCTTACTTGAAGTTGATTTTTACTTTCAAATCTTGTAAATAAGAACAACTAAGGTAAAGGTAAATGTCAAATATTAAAGTAGGGTACAGTGATTTTATTATTTTGTTACAAAGCTGGTATAAAATCAAGCACTGGTAAACTTGGCTTTGAGTGGTAGCAGTAGAATGTAATAATTAACAGCATAGAGTCTGTTGAGAGAGACCCACATTCATAGCCTGGCTTTGCTACTCATGAACTAAGTTCTGACAAGTTTACCTAAGCTTTCTAATTCTCTATTTTTT